CTTTGGTGTGTGTGTGTGTGTGTGTGTGTGTGTGTGTGTGTGTGTGTGTATGTGGTGGCTTTTATCCAGTTTTACCCCTTCTAAGGTTCACACTTCCAGGCATGTGGTAATCTTTCTCCTCTGTGCCTCCTCCAGCCCAGTTATTAAGTTTCTAAACAAATAAGACAAAGGAGGTGGGGAGGAGAAAGTGATGCATAAAGTCAATTCCACAATTCCTTTATCTAGATTTACAAGAGAGAGAGGAAGGGAGTAACATAAGATGAGATGTTTGAATTATCTACAATTTGTCAGAAACTTTTTTCTTGTTATTTATAAAAGGTAACTATAGGAGAGTCTCTTTTTATCATAAGACATTGAAAACTTTTATTTTACCTGGTACATAATGATTTAATGAGAAAAACAAGTAATTAAGCATTTTTACACTGGTTAGGTTTTTCAAGAGTCATGAACTACCTCATTGTAGTGTTTTACTGAAAACCACAACACATGCAGATTGAACATGTGTAGTCTCAGTATTGAGTTTTTAGGATTTGGTTTTCATTACTTTCTTCAACTTGAGTTTTTTTTTTATAGAACATTAGACATTCAATGATCATGTTAAATTAAAATTATTTGGTGCTCATGAAGACACACATTTTGGGGTGTTCATGAATTGGTAGAATTAAAATCGTTAAAATAGCCATAATACCCAAAGCAATCTACAGATTCAATGTAATCTCTATTAAAAATACCAATGGCATATTTCACAGATCGAGAACAAACACTCCAAAATGTGTATGGAACCAAAAAAGACCCCAAATAACTGTAGCATTCTCAAGAAAAAACAAAGTTGGAGGGATCACAATATCAGATATCAAGTTATACTACAAAGCTACTGTAATCAAAACAGTCTGGTACACCCTAGCTGGTTTGGCTCAGTGGATAGAGTGTAAGCCTGCAGACTGAAGGGCCCCAGGTTCAATTCCGGTCAAGGGCACATACCTGGTCAGGGCTCATGCAGGAGGCAACCAATCATGTGTTTCTCTAACATCAATGTTTCTCTCTGTCTTTTCCTCTCTCTTCACTCTCTCTAAAAATCAATGGGAAAAAAATATCCTTGGGTGAGGATTAAAAAAAAAAACCCCGACAGCCTGGTACTGGCACAAGAACAGGCATATAGATCAATGGAACAGAATGGAAGCCCCAGAAATTGACCCAAGCCATTATGGTCAATTTATATTTGACAAAGGAGGCAAGAACATACAATGGAGTCAAGACAGTCTCTTCAATAAATGGTGTTGGGAAAATTGGATAGATACATGCAAAAAAATTTGAAACTAGCCCACAAACTTAAACCATATACAAGATTGAACTCAAAATGGATAAAAGACTTAAATGTAAGTCGTGAAACCATAAAAATCCTAGAAGAAATCATAGGCAGCAAAATTTCAGACATCTTGTGTTACAAATGTTTACAGATACATCTCCTAAGGCAAAGAAAACTAAGGAGAAAATAAACAAATGGAACTGCATCAAAATAAAAAGCTTCTGCACAGCAAAAGAAACCATTAACAAAATGAAAAGGGAGTCCACTGTATGGGAGAACATATTTGGCAATGATACATCTAATAAAGGGTTAATATCTAAATATATAAGGAACTCATACAACTTAACAAAAGGAAGACAAACAACCCAATGAAAAATGGTCAATAGACACTTCTCCAAAGCAGACATACAGAAGGCCAAGAGACATATGAAAAAATGCTCAAAGTCACTGATCATCAGAGAAATGTCAATTAAAATGACAATGAGGTATCACCTCAGACCTGTCAGAATGGCTACCATCAACAAATCAACAAATGACAAGTGCTGGCGAGGATGTGGAGAAAAGGAAACCCTAGTACATTGCTGATGGGAATGCAGACTGGTATAGCCATTATGAAAAACAATATGGAGTTTCCTCAAAAAATTAAAAATAAAACTCCCATTTGACACCATAATCCCACTTCTAGGCACATTTCCCAAGAAATCATAAATGCCAATCAGAAAGGATATATGCACTCCTATGTTCATAGCAGCACAATTTACCATAGCTAAGATTTGGAAACAGCCTAAGTGCCTATCAGCAGATGAGTGGATTAGAAAACTGTGGTACATCTACACAATGGAATACTACGCTGCAAAAAAAAAGCGAAGCGAAATAAGCCAGTCAGAGAAAGACAAGTATCACATGATCTCACTCACATGTGGAATCTAATGAATAAAATAAACTGATGAACAAAATAGATCCAAAGACATAGAAGCATGGAAGAGACTGTGGAATCTTGGAGGGAAGGTGGGGGTGGGTGGGTAGGAAGAGATCAACCGAAGAATTTGTGTGTATATATGCATAACCCATGGACACAGACAATAGGTTGATAAAGGACAGGGGTAGGCTAGAAAGGGTCCATGGAGGGGGCAGAAGGAGACACATGTAATACTTTCAACAATAAAGATGTAAAAAAATAAGATGAAAGTTAGATATAAGGGCAGAGGGGAGAGAGGACAGCTATTTAGATTAAAGGTAACATAAGTTGCCCTAACCGGTTTGGCTCAGTGGATAGAGCATCAGCCTGCGGACTTAAGGGTCCCAGGTTCGATTCCGGTCAAGGGCATGTACCTTGGTTGCGGGCACATCCCCAGTAGGGGGTGTGCAGGAGGCAGTTGATCGATGTTTCTTTCTCATCGATGTTTATAACTCTATCCCTCTCCCTTCCTCTCTGTAAAAAATCAATAAAATATATTAAAAAAAATAAAGGTAATATAAGTTGAGAGGTTTTTGGTATCATCCACAGGAGAGAGGATGGCAGCTTGAACAAAGGCAGTAACAGTGAGGTTGGAGAGAAGGGAATGCAATGGAGAACTTTTAGGTGGCAAAATCCATGAGACTTGATAATTTGGATGTGGACAGGGGTGAAGACATGGTTAAGGATGATCTACTTACATCTGGCTTGCCTGCCTGGGAGTTTGTGGAGCCCTCATTTTCAAGCCCTTTTCACAGCCAAGTCACGTAGCCAGGGCTATGAACTACCAAGTCCTATTCAGCATTTTGGCATTTATTGTGGCACTTTCTCTTCTTGTGAGTGATTTTCTCTGTGCTTCCTCTAAGCTCTCTGTACCCCTCAACTTGTATAAGTCTTTTAAGCATTCCCTCTCCCACTCTCTCCAAAGGCGTGTGGTGGCTGCAGGCAAGCTAAGGGAGCTCTGTTGGAATTTGTTACTGTTTTTACTCTATTTACAGGTAATTTCAAGAATGTCATTGTTCTCCAAACTCAAACATGGCCTCCTCTTATCTTTTATTATGAAAAAGTATCTCTAACAGATAAGGATATCTGTTTTTTAAAGCCCCGCGACCAGAATGCAGTGGGTATATTTATAATTACATGAGAAATAAGAGGTATGTGGTGGAGTTTCAGCCTCATCTACTCTTCTGTGTTTTCTGTCTAGTTTGTATTCTTCACAAACTGGTTTACTGATATCTTGCAAATGGCATCACTGAGGAATTTTAAGAGCCTAGTTGTAGCCTGGGTTAATGTCATGTTCTCTGATGATCACAAAGGTATCTAAAAACTTTGTTTATGGGGTATAAGCAGCAGCAGAGATGCTAGAACCTCTGCTTCCCTCATTGTTCTTTCAGAGCCCCCTCTTTTGAGACCTTCAATCTTGCCTTAACTGCTTGGACATGAGATAACAAGTTCCTTTTCTCCTTTAATCTTCCCTGTGTTTTAACTTTTTATTCATTCTCGGGTTGCAAACTTTTATTTTTGCTATTTATTTGACCCTTAATTTAATAACAGATTTATCTTGATTTACAAATAGAAAGGGAAGTAGAGAAGATGGATCAAGGAATAAGGGAGGGTGGCCGTGTGGGGCAAATCACGAGTCACTTCATAGTTGGGAGAACAGCAGAGCGAGATCTATTGCTATTTATTTGGCTTTCAGCCTGACCCAGTACTGCTCAGTAAGTCAAGCAGATCTATAGATGTGGGTCTGCTCCACGCTGAGTCCAATTGGGGGCTGAGAGTTCAGGGACCTCAGTCCTGTATCCTGGACTACCTGTACTATAAAATTGAGACCCTTATAATTAGTGTGGAGAATTTACATGGACACTCAGGACAGAAGGTCTAGGAGTACCCACCTCACTCAGCAACAGTCCTGAGTCCTCCTCCCCAAGAATGGCCTTTGGCCAGTCTGTTCTGGACATTTCTTTCTAGAGTGTAAGAAGAGTTGGATTTATGTCTTGCCCTAACATTCATGTTGAATTCATTCTTGCCCAAACAGCAAAAACTGGATTACTTTCCAGGGACTCTTTTCTGATTTTAAACTCTTATTTTAAATCACTATTTTTTTCTGACTAGTTATAAAATGTTTATGCAAGATTCTCATCAATTAATTTCATAAGTTGATAGACTTCACCCCCTAGTGCTTAACCACAATTGATTTTAGAGGCCTTTGACACATACTGACTTACAATGCCAAGGATGATGTGTTGACTCCACATAGCAACACTTTTTAAAAAGCCAACATGAATTTCTATTTGGTTTCTAAGATTAAATCATTCAAGAATTGTCAAAGCATGAGATTTCAATAGCCCCACCTCTTCTCCAGGAATAGTTAAAGCAACACACGTAGGACCCCTTTACAAAATGGCCTTAATCCTTGGCCTTTGGGGTGGTGGATGCTCTGAAATCTCCTGTATGGAGAGATGGGACATCTGGAGGTCTGGATACTTTATCTCTTGGCCATACTGCTCAGAAAAATTCTTTACCTTTTCCAATACTCCAGGTTACTATTAGGAATTAATTGACTAAACTGTCTGTGATGAAGATCCCAGAAGGTCCCAGGTTCAGAATAATTTTACAGAGTCTTGGTTGAGGGAAATAAGGAATCCCTCTGGTAGAATTAAGAAATGGGTATCTGGTATCTTAAGGAAAAAGCAACTCCCACAAAACCTGAAACAAGTAAGAGCTTTGTTACAGAAATCTGTGCTATCCATGCCAAGAATGGACTCCTAGAATTTATAATAGAACAACATACACTTAAGAGAACCAAGTACCTAGAATCAACTGAGAATGACAAACTCCTAACAAGATACCTACACATTATTTTGCCCCCAAGTACCTAGAATCAACT